ATATATATATATCTATGAAAGTATTTTTTAAGTTTGAAAGAGAAATTTTTCAAACGAAGAAAACATTTCAATGCAGTAAACAGAAGTACGTATTGTTAGAGGCTGTAAAATACACGAGAAACGACAATTGTCGCGTAGAAAACATGAAAAAGCTTTTAAACAAAAATCTCTTCGAGTAGAATTTTCGTCAATCTTTCAATAGGTAAATCGGAACAAAGTTCAAAGAGTAAAATTCTTCTCAAGAGTTTTTCTTTTTTTTTTTTTAATTAATTACAATTCGATTACAAGGGAGGCAGTTAAGAGTTTTCTCCTTTATAAATTTTATAATATATTAAAGATTCTTTACTGAGTTTTATATTAAAAATGCGATTCAACTTTACGTTCAGCTAATTTAAGAAATTAATTAATTTAAAAAAATGTGATAAACCCTTTTTTCTAAAAAAAAATACTTCTTGCAAATATTCATTTTATATAGAAAGTTTTCTCAATTTTTTTTTAACTATAATTATATAATTCATAAATAATAAAATATAATTATATATAATTATTATTAAGAATGGAAAATTTTTTTTTTTTGGCAAAGTTTGAAAGTACAAAGGTGTTTTATGACACGAAAAAAAAAGTGAGATATAGATGAATTGGAAAAAAATTTTTTTCTTTTTTTTACTTTTTCCGGATTGTAACGTGTTGCAAAACCCAATAGGTCAGCTTCATTTAACCTTTCTCTGGTGAACACGCTCGTGAAAAAAGCGATCAACATAAACATCGTCGAAATGTTTTCCTTCAATATAGTTTCCTGTCATTTTTAGGGCCAATGACTGCAGCATCAGACCAATTTCCTCTCAAGAGCTCTAACTCCACATTCTATACGTATATAAAAAAAAAAACCCCCCGTTGAAAAAAAGAGAAAAAAAAATTTATCGAAAAATATCTGTTTTTATGTATTTTCAAATTTTAAAAATAAACATTTTTTTAATGAAAAAAAAATAAAAATACTTTTAATTTTTGGAAAAACTTTAAAATAAAAAAAAATATTATTTTCAAAAAAAAAGAAAATTTCTTTTTCCCCAAAAAAAAAGAAAAATTAATTTTAATTCAGTTTTTTAAAAAACAGATATTTTATATATACAAATTTCAAACTGAATATCGAATATCAATGTATATATACATTGCAAACTTTATGTCCGACATTTATGACTATCATTGTTCGTTTATCGATTATACCATTATAAAATACAAATTATGGACGAGCACATTTAATAACAAAATCACCAAACAAATATATATGTTCATTTTATTAGAATATAAATCCCATGAAATGAGTTTTCTAATTTAATAGAAATTTTTCGAAATACATATATTGAATCCATATATATATATATATATAGGATGAAAAGCTCGGATAAGAAAATTGAAAATTTTTAATACCATGATTCAGTGAATAATAACTTAATACGTCAAAAGTGTCCTCTCTAATCTTATTCGATATAGCAAAAGTGAATTGATGAAGAAAAAAAGCTGTTTGAGGTTCTTTTATGCAATTTGAAGAATAATAATAATATATTTAAAAATAAAATTGAAAATGTAATCGATGTTACATTGCCAATAATAATAATAATAATAAAGCGAGAAGAAAAAAATAACGAGAAGAAATTAACTATAAGCAGTAAAAAAGGCAAAGTCAATTTTACAATCTCGCTCTCTCTCTCTCTTTCTCTGTATAGCAAAGCTAATAAAAGATATTCCCCTCAGCCGTGAAATACGATTTTGCAAGAGTAATACACATAGGCATTCGAGTAAATTGCAAAAGGGATCTTTATTGCTAATCTAGTCAAAGCTTTTAGGAATTTATCTATCCTTGAACTAACACTGAATATTTATTTTAAAACTAACGTCATATAATATGACAAAAAAATTATTTATCAATATATAAATAAATCACGAATAATGGTTATGCATAATATTGGAAAAAAAGGTTTTTTTTTATTTATATGTATTTTTTCTATAACGTTGAATGATAATTAATAACAATTTTTTTTTATCAAGAATTCATAAACGAAAAAGAAAATAAAAACTTTTTTTTTAATAATAATATTCTCGAATTTTTTCCAATTCATCTATTTTTAATTAATTAAATAAATTAATATAATTTATAATTGAAATAAATTTTGTAATAATAATAATTTTCCCATTCAAAATATTTCAATTATTTTATATTATACAATTTTTAAAAAACAATTAAATATTAATTTTACTCACTTGTTGTGTAATTAATGGTTTCTAATCATTTTATTCGGAAATGATCCATATTATCGAAAAGACACTGACATCTGAAAAAATTAATATATATATGTTTAAAATACAAAAAAATTACAATAAATAATTATCTGTTTTAATAAATAAAAAATAATTTCAAATATAAAAAAAAAATTATTTAGTAATATATTTATTTAAAAAAAAAAACATTACTACAAATGTAAAATATATTATATCAAATATTTACACAAAAATTATCAAGAATTCACTGTCCACAACGCACATATAAGTGAACGCAACATAATTCAGTTTCAGTTTAATCTATATTTTGATCGTTGCAGTTTGCAAAATTGCAATTACGAAATTATGTAAGCTAACTGAGATAAGCTATTAGAATAATGAATGTTATCTTCCGCCCATTATCGTCATATATATAGTATTAAACCAATTTTCATAAATATCGCTCCGAAATAACGTATAAATATATATATAACTATTATATTGTTTTATTAATAATAAAAAATAAAAAAAAACAAAATAGAAAAAAAAGAACTTTAGCAAACAAGGTAATAAAGCTGTTAATTTAAATACAAAAACGCGTTATATGAAACTTTCCAGTGGTGGTCTTTTAAAAAACAGTAAAAAGTTACGCTTTACATTTGACTTCTTTTTTTTTTATATATATATATATAACAGCAGAAAGCGGGGTTGTTTTCTCTTTCATGCCGCTATAACTTTTCAAGATGTTAATTTCAAATATAAAAAAGTGGCCTGTTTTGTACGCAATATTCTCCTCTACTTTTAAAACTTGGCATTATTATACATATAAAGCAATGTCAGACAATTTTTTCCAATTGTTTTTAATACCCAAATGTAGTCTCAAAACAAATCATATCACATTTTTTATTTATGAGAATTTGAAATTTAATATTATGCTAATTTTTATAACCCCTAAAAGAATTGGTTGATTTTATAATAATAATTTATTATCAATATTAATTATTTCTAAAAATTATTTAAATTTAAAATATTAAGAATATTTCCTTTTACGAATTAAAAAGATAAACAAATAAAAAATTTAAATAATTAAAAATTTTTAATAATATTAATTGAATATATATTTCGACAATAGAAGAAAAATTATTTCCTGTCACTGTAGAGAAACAAAACATCGGTTTTTATCTTAAAATAACCAAAATATTATTGTAGCACTTAAAATAAGATGCAAAGCACTTATCTCTGTTTTTCTTATGACAATATTTCGAAATTGATCTGCGAGTTTTTTTTTCTATATTATTCTTTCTTTTAAAATGTCACTTTTCAATATTTCTATTACTACACACATATATAATTATTATTAATAAACTCATCGGGATTATTATTATTTACAATTCCCATATAAATATCAATAAAAGGGTTGATTAATTAATTATACACCGTGGGTGATTAAATTGACAAATAGCAGACAATTAAAATAAATAATAAAATTTTTATAAACTAGAATAAAAAAAAAATTTACCTGGTATATATTAAACATAACCTTCTTATGCTTTCATATATAGAATTGATGTGATGAAATAATACTATTGATATTCTTCTTTAAAAACACTATTAAAAAGTATAAATGCAAACTAAAATTGTGCAAATTTAATAAAACTATTTTAAAATAAACTATAATATTTCTAATGTGCTCCAAAAAATGTGAAAATAGTGGGGGAAGAGAGTATTCATATTTTTTTTTAAGCGATATAGATCTCTCCTCGATAAACGTCCAGGATGGATATAAGCGCGCTGTATGCGGAGACTAGTTTTTATACTTCGAGCTCTCTGCCTGCCGTGCGCTGATTGGTCCGGGTATTCACTGCGGTAGACTGGTGGGGGGCACTTGCAGTCAACGTTTATAAATATAAGCTATTTTTTACAAGAGCTTCATTGAGCAGTTACCTCTTCAAGACGTAACATCTGTACTGCTTAAAAAAAATATTTTCAACTTTTATTCCTTGTTGGAACTGGACAACTACTTCCAATATTCAAGAACAAAATCGTAAACACATTCCTATTTTTCTACATCATTATATGTTTAAACAAAAATAATTATATATAAAATATATAATTATTCAAAATTATATAAAACAAAAGTATTATATCAGGTGGAGTGATAATGTATAACTGGATGATGAATCGACGAAAATAGTGATTTGCGGTGAGTGTTGAGCTATTATATTATTTAATTAAATTGAATAAATAATATATACTTTTTAAAATTAAATGACAGAAATTAACATTAATAATGAACATAAATTAACTGATATTATCATCATAGTGTTGCCATTTTGTTAGGAGATTTGTAGTTTTAGTATGCAATAACAGATTATTATTTAAATTTTTGTGTAACAAAGTAAACAATGGAATGTAACAATAGGTTATAGTAAATAATTTGATCGAGGGAGGCTAGCTTGTGCTCTGCGACAGTTGGCAATACAATGCGCGCGCATCCAAGTACTATTTTGTACTTGGACATCCTCTAGCACCTATTGTAATTAAATTATTAATTTATTTGTTAATTATTAATTAATTCAAATTATTGATAAAGTTGAAATATATCAATGTTCATTTATTTATTTCTATAATTATCTCGGGCAAATTAAAAATTTCTAAATTCGCGCGCTGCAGATGTGGCGCCCTCACTTGAACAGGCTTCATATTGATGCGTTTGCGACGACATTCACTTAGCTTTTGGCGCCTTCAATAACAGTGTTTATTTACAATACGTTCGTTGTTTTTGCATCAATTTCAGTTGGATAATAATTATTTCATAGTCAATATAAAGTTATTTCGACAATGGTTGTTTTAATAATTACGATTCAACTAATACATATAGTTTCAAAACGTGTGTCAAAAGTCTTTAGTCAAGTGACTAGAATTGAGGTTATAACGCAATAATTTTCACAATTTACACACAATTTGCAATATTTAAAAGGAAAATTATATTTGAAGCTTGATTATTATTTTCTCGGTAAGATTTTATGCTATTTTATTGAAAATATATTTAAAATTATCAATTTTCTAACAAAATATTTGTCAACAATTTTTGTTTTCTAATATATTGTTTGAGAATATTACACAAATAAACAATTGTATATTGCAAATAATTTGCTTTTTATAAATATTTGTGAAATTTGAATATAAATAGTGCTATTTCAATTCTAATTTGAAAAAAAAAAATTTTCTTTTTCTCTTATGTTAATATTAGAGTTTTGAAAGATTATTAAAAGTTTCTAACCTTACTTCCATTACTTAAATAAGACAGAAGGTGGAGCTTGAAATTTTCCTATTAAATTACATGTTAGTATATGTTATATCGTTAATATCTTTTCGATTATCGTCCTGATAACGTTGCTTTTCGCGTTAATAAATTCCTTTATAACTCCCATGGAACTATAACAAGATCTTGCTCGTTTAGTTGCTTCGTTAGAAACTACCCTTCAAGCTCATGTCCACGCATCTAACTTAAATCTACTTTGTACACTGAAACTACTCAACAATGTTCGTGTAATTCCATCTACATTACAAGCATAGTTAAGATTTAGAAGTGAAGTTTATTCAACCACGTTAGCTCACTAAATGCTTCATTTATAACTTCAATTGGTTTACTAACTTTCCTTGCACAATAAACTCGAGAAAATTTCCTCTGCAATATCTTATTCTACAATTAAAGATCTTTAATTGGAAAGTACTTTTTAAAAAAATTAAACTAAATATTTTTTAATTTATAAATTTTTATTTAAATAAAATAATTAAATTATTTAAATTAACTGAATTATTTATTAATAATCAGTAATTAGTATTCATTTAACTTTTTTATTAAATTAAAGATATTAATTGAAGTAACGTTTTAATAATGCATAAATATAATAAAGAGAAAGAAAGATCTTTGGCTTGAGGAAAATTAATTTTATTTTCCTTTAATAAATTACTCTCGGGTGCTTTCCTTAAAATACAAGAGGCAGGTTGAATAAATTCCGACAAAACAAAGCAGACGTAGTTTTGTGAATTAAGTTTTAGAAGCCTTTAATTTAATCAAGTGTGCTAACTTTTCTAAATAGCAAAAGTCTTTGACAAAATCAATTGCATACCTTGCTTTTCTTCATTCCTCTCTCATCTATTTATTTTAATCATCGCTTTATTTGCTCTTTTTTATTTTTTACTTAAAATAAATTCTTACGTCATCTGAAAATTTTATATTTAAAAACATTTTTTTATTATATCAAAAATATTCAAGAATATTTTAATAATAATTAGATTAAATTTAATTTAAAAAAAAAAAGTTTGAAATATATAAACCTGATAAGACAAAATTAAATCATACAAACATGTAAATAAAATAAATATATAGAAAGTAAATCATAAACTCTTTTTTTATATTTACTGAGTTTACGAAGCAGATATGTAAAATAATAGTATAGAAGGAAATAATAGAAACTGTTAGAATTTTAATGAGAAATAATAGTTTATTTCTATTGGAAAATGCTTGGTGACACATTTTCATTATTCATGTGACCGTTAACCCGAATCTTTTTCATTTCCTTATTTCACGTCCTCACTTATAAGCCAAGGGAGAAAATAGCGGAAGGAAAATGAAAGTCATGTTGCTTGAACTCAACGAATATTTATACTTGCAATTTTCGATTACGATCGAGTGGAATAAAATTTGCATTATATATAGATATAAAGTAATGGTTTTTTTTTTTTAAGGTGGTGAGAAAAAATGAAAAAAAAAATTTTTTTTTTCAAGAATATATATTTAAAAAAAAAAAAAAAAAATTGAGCACGTTCCTCATAATGTTCTCTATAATACAAATTTTCTGCGATTTCTCAGAGTTACTTGGACCGACTTAATTAAAGGGCTATACCAGCTCAACCCCTTCCGACAATCTATTTCACGACACGACGTCCTATTAACTATCCGTCGCCATCTCTTTTCTCATGTTACCGCATATGACAGTGTCCACTTTAATATATATAATATGAGGTGCAAAAAAAACAATGAATAACGTATACGTCAAATTTTTATTTTTTCCAATCTCATAAATAAAGACAATAAAAAAATTTCCCTTGTGGGAAAATTCTTTTCCTTTGAACATTGAAAAATTGAAATTCAAAACGTTTCTTAAAATTTTATTCCTCTGATTTTTTTATATTGAAAAATAAATTTATATTATTATTATTATTATTATTATCGCAAAATAAAATCCATTAATCGGTTTATAAAACAAAATACAAAATATGAACTTCGGTCTTTGAAAGTCCATTGAAATGGAAAATATATATATATATGTATTTTTTTTTTTAATTGAGATAGTGTCAGTTACGTATTTATTATCAATTTTTGTATTTGAAATTGACAAAAAGAATTTTTTTCATAAAAATATTTTTGAAATATTATTTATTGTAAGTTATTGATAATACTTTCTAAATTAACATTAACTAGTTTAAATATTATTAAAATTTAAATATTAAAAATAATTTTTTTTTTTATTTGAAAAAATTGCATTTAAAAATAATGATTTTTCTCGTTTTGAAACACAAATGAACAATATCATATGGGCAAAATCAAACTTGCTATATACTATTTGGCGAATGTCCAGTTAGTGAACTTTATTCCATCCTTTCGGTTCTGAAAACCAGGAACAATTGATTACAGAGAGAGAGAGAGAGAAAGAGAGTATGTTCGACTTTGGCTTTGATCCAATTTCTCCAAATCGAATCAGAAAAATTGTGAGGATTCGGCTTACTTTTATTGCTGTACACGAAACGATTTGTTTTCAATGATATTCAATGTCGATTTTGTACGAAAATAACATTTCTCAATATACTCAATTGACCATAAAGTTCAATTTTACCGCCTCCCCCCCTCTTCACCACCTCACTTTCAAAAATTACATTTTTACCCAATTTTTTGTTTGTTAATAATAACATATTTTAATTTATTACATTTGTTAAAAATAATTTTTTTTATTAATCATTTTTTTTTAATAGTAAATTAATAATTAATTTGCAATTTAATTGGTATTTAAAAAAAAACAAATTAAATCGATTACATGGCAAATTTATTATTATTATTATAATTATTTGTCATATAAATTTTAGAATAAAGAGGAAATTTTCGCAAAAATTTAATTTCTTTTATTCTTCTTCTTTTTTTTTAGGAAAATATATATAACGAATTCATCGACCGTTACCAACAATTTTTGGAGTGTGCGCGCAACTCTTCTGGGATCGTAAAATAATTCAGCTTATATGTATCTCGAAAGGTAAGAAGATAAAGTGGAAACCGCTCGTGAGTTGATAACCAAATTATTTACCGACTTAGAGTTTTATTTAATATTTCCCATTTTTCCCGCTACACACTGATTTTTAAAAAAGAGATAAAAATTCTATGGATATTTATTATTATTATTATTATTTTTTTTTAATAGAGTCTTAATATCAATTTTTGATACAAAATTTCGATTTTTAAAATATTAATTGAAAATTGATAATATGGGTAATATTAAAAAATGGTTTACAATTAAACATTTCTTTTGTTTTTAAAAAAAATTTAAAATATTCCTATTTGAGAAGTTCTAAACATCAGCAAACGTATTTTATTAATATCTTTTCAAATTAAATTTATATTTTATTAAATTTAATTAATTAAAAGCAATTTTTCTTCACATCGTTAAATCTGTTAATCAAACGATATATATATATAGCGATTTACAATCTTTTCTCATTTTGGCGCTTGCTTTTCCACTAAGGATAGGTTACGAGAGTACGGTCGATTTAATTTTTTTATACACCATGCTTTTCACGACCTAAAGAATTTCTCCTTCATTCGTAATGTCTATAAAACAAGGGGATCTCAAATTACATTTCTTTTCACATCAGGGATTAATTTTTTTTTTTTTGTTTTTTTGGAGAAAATAATACAAAAAACCGAATTTTTCGACTTTTATTTTTTTATCTTAAAACAATTGCATAAATTAAATATTAATTATTTTCAAATTGGAAAAAACAATTGCAAAATTGAAATAAAGGATCCCTGATATAATAATTAAAACAGAATTTTAAAATTTTTTATAAAATATTGTTTTGAATATTAATAATATTTTGATTTAAAAATTTCTGCCCCCACTGTATTTTTGTTGTTAAATTGTTATCGAATTTTTCGTCAATTACATTTTTGTCTAAAAATAATTGCATAAATTAAATTTTAATTATTTTCAAATATGAAAAAACAATTGCAAAATTGAAATAAATGATCCCTGATATAATAATTAAAACAGAATTTAAAATTTTTTTATAAAATATTGTTTTGAAAATTAATAATATTTTGATTTAAAAATTTCTGCCCCCATTGTATAATTATTTTTGTTGTTAAATTGTTATCGAATTTTATTATATATAGTAATAGTAATTTTATTTTATTTTTTAACATTCGTAGTTAATGACAGTTTCACTCAGACAAAACATGTTAAACTCTCGTAAAGTGGTATCAGTAGTGAGAGTCGGTTTTAGTTAAGACAGAACAATTAAAATTCGTGTAGTTTAGTTATTACTTTGCCGAATTTACTCTCAATCTAATTTTCCTTTTAACCAAATTGTTATTTGATTGAATTTCTATTTAATCGTAAAATATTTTATTCAAATAATCGATTACTTTACAATTTTCAACTAAATATTTATTGGTAATAAATAATTATTATTTGAGATGATATTTGTTTCAAATACAGAAATTATTACTACACAGAAAATTAAAAGGCATTAAAATAAGCTGCAACGCTTATTATTTTAATCCAATTTTGCTTATTTTAATCCATTTTGGTATTAAAATAAGCAAAATTGGATTAAAATAATAAGCGTTGCAGCTTATTTTAATACCTTATAATTTCCTGTGTACAAATACAGTTCAAATAAAAATTATTTCATTCAAGTAATTATTTATTTGATAATAGTAAAGTAACCGATTATTTGAATCAAATATTTTTTTTTCAGTGTAGTAAAAATATATTTTATTCAAAAATTTTTGTAATTTTGGTATATCAATTGGAAAATTGATATCAGATAAAGCGTTTTTAATTTTTTTCTATTAATCTAGTAATTATTCAGCGAGTTTTATTCAGAGAGAGAAAGATAATATTTTCAGTTTTAGTTAAAAAAAAAAAAAAAAAAAAATTGTAAGCAAATAAAAAAAAAGCTCTCGTTGCTCATGCTATAGTTGAACAATTTTATGGAAATAAACCACTTTTATTCTGTCTCAAGACTTATATAAAAGGCTTGATTGGCTTGATTGAATTGAATCTAAAGGTGGGCGACCTTTTAACTTAACTCTACGATAGAAGGTTCGTTAGGAGAAAAGGAGAATGAGAGGAGAAGTGGAACCTTAAAAGGTTTAAGCTTGTTTTTTTTTTCTCTCTTTTTCTCTTTCCTTGTCGAGCTGCAGCATCCCCTGGTTTTACTTATACATGTACGTTTCTTGTTCCAAGCGGGTTCCTGTTTCGTTTACTTTTCATTGCCATGGGATGGTTGAGGTGCGAATGGCATACAAGCAGCTTTGTTAGACGTGTCTGGAACGTGTGGCCAAAGCATTTCCCTTGTTTCAGTGAAACTTTAGGGAATTAAAGCCACCACAGTTGGTTTTCAATTATAAAAGACAAAGTTCAACTCTTAAGTGGTATTGTAAGCTCTTGTAAAGAAAGAACCGAAAACAAAAAGAAAATTTACAAAGTTTTTTCTAAACTAAAAAGAACATTCATTGATTTAGTGATTATCTCTTCTATTTTAAATATATTTATTTCATTAATTTAAAATTTCTTTTTTCTGAATTGTGAAAATAAAAATGTTTAAAGACAATAAAAAAAAAAAAAAAAACTGATAAAGAATGTGAGTTCTGTAAATCATTGTAAATAATGATAAAATGTCAATATATCAGAAGAGTGATCAAGCTAAACTTTAAAATGGTCCAGAATTGTGTACATGTAGAAAAATTTACTGCACATATAGAGATATCTGACTAGCAGAAATTTGTAACCTACTGTCGAAAACGTTACAATTTACGACACTCGTGTACAAAGTAGTATAGAAATAACAATATATTTTTTTACTCAATTTTTTTTTGTCATTCAAACTACAACAAATATTAATTAATTTTAGACAAATGCATAAAAATAATATTTAAAAAGAAAAAATTTTTATATAAAAAATAGAAAATTATTTTTATTTACAATTGTGATTAATTTTAATTAATAATTATTTTAATCAATTTTACTAAATAAATTAAATTTATAATTTAATGATCTTCATTAGAAGTAAATTATTGAAAGAAAATGAGGAAAATTTTGAAAAAAGAAAAATTATTAATTTTAAAATTTATTAAAATTTTTTTTTTGATGACTTTGTGAAAACGTTGAAAGAGGGGTTGTAAGTAATGAATTCGTATGAGAGCATATTTTAAAGTTTTTTTTAAAAAAAAGCGATACACTTTAACGATATACAGACTCTCATGTGTTTTCGTAATCGCAACTAGTCTTTCATTCTATCTATACTTGTACAAAGTTTCGTAAGTAATGAACCTCGTGTATTTTCAGTTTTCTTTTATTTTTTTGGGGAACTTTCAACTCTTTAAATGTTGTTTATTTTCTCTAGAATGTTTAGTCCATTGAATTTCGCTTGATATATATATATATATATATATATATATATAATCGTGAATTGAATTGCTCTCATATTACCATTTTGAAAAATAGTATTTAAAAATTAAATTTCCAATTAATTTTTTAGCCAACATTTTTTTTTATTAACAAAAAATTATTTATAATTTCTTTTCGAATTTGTCAAAGGGTGGGGGGGATATATTGGGGGGGGGTATATTGAAAAAAAATATAATTATTATAATAATATTTAATATAATAAGTATATTTATTTTCGATAATAATTAACGGATTATTTAAAAGAAATAATTTTTTTTTTCTTTAACAGTGTATAAGTTAAAGTTTCTTAAGAACGCAAAATCGAGTTTAGAGTTACTAAACTTCGTTTCCTCTGTGCTTTATTTATCTTCGTAATTTGTTAAATGAAAGTCAAGTAGTTATATATATATATAAGCTTTTTCTTTTAATTACTTAAGTTATAATTGTTTAGAATACCACAAAAGAGTAGCACAATTACAAGATGAAGATTTATTATCACTCTTTTATATTAGCACAACTCTTATTAATCTCACGGTGCTTCTTTTTTTACGCAAAATAATAAAAAAGAAAAACCAGTAAAATTTATGAGCAAATGAGTAAATATAATTTCCAACAGAATTTCTCTAGTGGATTTTACAAATCTCTGTGTTAATTTTACTTTAACTTTATTTTTTTTACAAACGTTGTTTATTAATAAAATATGAGATGAAAAAAAAAATTTGCATCTGTGTTAAAGAATATTTTAATGTATCTCTTAAGTGCTGTACATGCTCTTAAAATAGTTTATATTTATTTTAAAAAAAAAATGATCTCAAAATTTAGATTTTAAAAATTAGGTTTTATTAGAACTGTCTTTTGCTACTTGTGTTAAAATTCGAGATCTGTCTGAAATTTACTTTTACTACTAATACCAAAATTAATGGAATTAATTACTATTACTATTTAATTAATTTATATTATTTAATTACTTTTACTATTAATATATTTATAAAAATTAGAAATATTGTCTTACTGTAAGTGACTTTTACTATTAATATATTTACAAAATTCGTGAAAAAATAGTCTATTTGAAATTGTCTTTTACTACGGATATTAAAAATTCTATGAATTTAAATCGTTTGTGTCTGACTAAAATTTACTTTTACTACTTATATATTAAAATTAGATAAATTTATATCTGTCTGTCTGAGTGAAACTAAATTTTTCTACTGATAGAAAAAATTAGAATAGAATTGAAACTCATTACTACTACACTCAGAAAAAAATTCGTTTGAAGCAACCAAATTTTGGTTAAATCAACAAAATAAATGCATTGATATACAAACATTTGGTTGCATAAGCCAAACGTTTATTTAGATCAATCAAATTTTTTCTTTGTTCAAAAAATTTATTAAAATAAACCAAACAGTTATTTAGATCAAATAAATATTTATTTGAATTAAACAAATTTTGTTTGAACTAACCAAAAAATTGGGTAAATATAAAAAAATGGTACATTTGGTTCAAACATATCTTTTTTCTGAGTGTAAATATTTAATTATATAATTATTTTGAAATAAACAATGTTTGACTGTACATTGTCTTTTACTACTTATAAAAAATATTTGATTTAAATAATCCTTTACTTTATTATTAGCAAATAAATATTTATTTGTATCAATTATTATTTATTACTTGAGTCAATTAAATGGTATGTTTTTCAAATACAGAAATTATTACTTCAAAAAATTATTTTAAAAATAATTTTGTTTTGAAAATTATTTTAAAAATAATTTTATTTTGAAAATTATTTTGTTAAATAGTTGAAAATTTGTATGTATTCTCTTATTGATTCAAATAAAAATTATTTGGTTCAATAAATTATTTATTCGCTAACTGATTATTTGAATTAAATAAATTTTTTTCAATTTATATTAAATTGAGAAAAATTCGTTTAAAAAAAATAATTCAATTGTCATTTTGATATTAATTTAATATCATTATGTTAACTGTGAAGGGAATTTTTTGACGTATTTACAGTATTTTAATTGAAACTGACAGTATTTTAATTTTTCTTTTTGCAGATTCTATCCTCGATGGCTTGTGATGTTACGTGCTTCAACGATAAGGGCAAAAGTAAAAAAGGGATCTTCGAAGGACACAGGATTCTCCAGTTTCAGACTATTTAGAACTCGGTCTATTTTGACGGTTATTTTTTACATTTTCTAAATGGAAATTTAACTTGAAAGTAGGGATCTCCGAGGTCTCTATTTAGTTTGAAAGAAAATCTCCTTGAAGCTAAAACGTCGTTATTTAAGGTAAAGATTTTAATTTATTGGAAAAATTATTTAAATTTATATTATTGTCAGTTTATACTAATTTTATGAACTGAAAAAAAAATTTATTTAATTCACCTTATCGGTTACTTTATTATCTAATAAATATTTATTTCTATCAAATAATTATTATTTTAGATATGGTATTTTTTTCAAATACAGAAATTATTTATTATTTATTTGAATGAAATAATTTTTTTTTCAGTAAGTACAAAATAAATACTAAATAAAAACCTTATGAGATATATTTTAATTAATTAAAAAAGACTTGTTTTTTATCATGTTATCGTGAATAAAAAAAAAAACTCTTTTGGCCTCTTTAAATTCATCAAACATATTTAATTAAAAAACTTTAAATTTTGTTACTTTTATATATATAATTTTTTTTTATATTTTTTTTTACAGTATGTTATTTAACTTTTACCGCTTTTACATTTTCTTTGCCTTGCGCGCCGCCCTATATATATTCGTTTGATAGTTTTAGAATTGGCAGCACTGCTTTTACTCGAAACTTAATCCACGATAAGTTAACTTGATTGCTTCAGCACAAGTAGAAAGTTTACTCTAATTAAAAGTGAATGGTAAAATTAACTCTTGCTTTATCAGTTTTGGAAGAGAGAAACTTTATATATATGTGTATATAGAGAGTAAGATTAAAGTTTACAATTTCAATGAAGAAATAACATGTGCGCGCTCTAGCAAATAGTCTCAACTAAGATAATTTCAATAAAATGATATGCGCCGAAGAAAGTTCAAGGAAGGGGGTGAATGGGGTAAATATTCGTGTAATTTACGTGAATTCGAGGTATAATGCACCTGTAAGCAAAAGGGGTGTTTTCTTTGATGAGAAAGTGCATATAAGTGTGTTTCGGTATTAGAAATTTTGGTATATAAGAAAGAGTAGGCAATGAATAGTAATTAGTGTAAAGTTGCTGTTCTACATAGATAGGAGGTATCTGGGAATACTTCGCTTTTTATGCAAATTACTCACTTGGGGTAATAAATTATTTTATAAACTTTGATGAGGATTCGTAATTCCACGCAAGTACCAACCCGATGAGCTTATTTACTTTTTTAGTATGTGTGTGTATGTGTGTAAAAGAGAGAGAGAGAGAGAGAGAGAAGCTTCTGAAAGCGCTTACTTACCTAATTCCTGATATATTGCATACATTTGCCAAAGAGGGTTGCGAAAATTCGCTCTCAGGAGATTTTAAAACTTACTTTCAAAAATTTTTAAATCAATATTATTTTCATTTTTTTTTTTTTTTAATATTCGAGAATTTCATTAGAAAAAATGAAAATATTTAAAATAACAAAAAAATTCTATTTTTCTATATAAAGAAATAGAGTAACGTAAATTTTTATGTAACAAGAAACTTGAAGTATATAATGATAAGGAAGGGAAGTTAACAGCAGGAGTGGCAAAGATAACTCGACATAGCCCGAAGGTCGAAAATACGTGGAAACTATTTTCCGAAAGTCACTTCAAAGGAATACTCATGAATCCTTATCAAAGAAAAGGAAATTGTAGAACGTTTGGACTTTAAAATTTTCTTATTTGTCAGCGTTACACAGAAGGATGTTGGGAGTCCTTCAAAAATGATAAGGATACATTGGGTCAGTTATCTTTTAAGAAAAGTAATTCGCCTTCGCGACTTTTTTTTCCTGTCATTTTTGTTTCTAATTTTTTTTTATATTTTTCAATTGGGATAATATTTAAAAAATACAAAACCAAATTCTATTTTGTAGCCGAAAAGTCGGAGTCAATAAATAAATTAGAAAAGCAATTTTCTTAAATACAATTTATTTTGTTTATATTTTTTTTTTATTTGTAAAAATAATTACTATTATTAGAAATGCTAAAAATGAATAATATAGAAAGAAAAATTTACTAAAAGATATTTAAAATGAAAGGATATAACTTTTTTTTTGCGATCCAATATTTTTTTTTAATTCTTTTTTCGAGTTGAGTGTATTGAATCCTGTGAGAATCGTAAGGGAAAAGGAATATAGCTATGCAATTTATTTCAAAGAGAGAGAGAGAGAGAGAGAGGTAGCAGTCTTCTTTAGCTATGAGTTATATTTAAGATCCTTGGGGGATTGAAGATATTACTAGATACTACAGTCGGTTAGATATTCGTTTTACCCTTTTTCATTCTAGGGCCCACTTACCTGACAATGAAGGCTTTTGTTTCCATTTAAGTAGATGCTTCAGCAAAGTTCAAGAAGACTAGATGATGAGCCGACGTGTAAATTGATGTGAGAATCTCTCTCTTTTTATATATATATAAACCGAGAGACCAAGAATACACTTGATCAATATCATTTAAATTTTTTTTCACGTAGATATAAAGATTTAAACTCTTCCTTCTCATAGAAAGCAAGGCTGTGCATTTTCTACATTCCCATATAAAGAAAGTAGTATTTCAAATTTTTCCTAACATTTCAGTTTTGTAGTCTTAGGCTTTTCCGAACAAATTTTTTTAATAAAATTACAAAAAATGAACAAATAAAACATTGCTCTCTGTGAGAAGGTGGAGTTTGAATCTTTCTTCGAATTTAATCTCCATTATTTTTTTTTGATAGGCTTGCATTTTTTTCCAATGGATATTAAATTCGACAAATTGTGGAAAGGTTCGAAACCTTATCTTCTCATAGAAGATTTTAATATTTAAACTCTACCTTCTCACAGAAAGCAAGTCTCCCATTCGTAACTTTGTAGAATTGTGGTTTTTGATTTTTTGAACAGAAAATGTAAATATCAAAATTAAAAAAAGTGATCAGAGATAAAGGAGTGGAACCTTGCTTTCTGTAAGAAGGTGGAGTTTCAATCTTTCTTTTATTTGGCAAATTTAAGCTCCATGTTTATTTAAAGGCTAGTATTTAGGTCTAAAAATGAGAACCTTGCTTTCTGTGAGAAGGAGGAGTTTAATGTCGAATATTTCTCAGTCTAGTTAGGTTTGATTATTTTCACTCTACTTTCCGCCTCGATATTTCCGGTTTATGAACATTATAATTTTCTATGAGAAGGTAGACTTTCGAATCTTTCTATCATTTATCGAATTTAATCTCGATCATGTTTTTTAAAGACTAATTTAGGTCTGAAAATGAGAACCTTGCTTTCTGTGAGAAGGGGGAATTTAAAGTCGAATATTTCTGTCTAGTCAGATTTAATTTTTTCAGTCTAGTTTCCGCCTTGATATTTCCGGTTTATGAACATTATAACCTTCTTTGAGAAGGTAGAGTTTCGAATCTTTCTATCATTTATCGAATTTAATCTCGATCATGTTTTTTAAAGGCTAATTTAGGTCTAAAAATGAGAACCTTGCTTTCTGTGAGAAGGAAAAGTTTAAAGTCGAATATTTCTGTCTAGTCAGATTTAATTTCTTCAGTTTAGTTTCCGCCTTGATATTTCCGGTTTATGAACATTAAAACCTTCTGTGAGAAGGTGGAGTTTCAATCTTTCTTTTATTTGGCGAATTTAAGCTCCATGTTTTTTTAAAGGCTAGTATTTAGGTCTAAAAATGAGAACCTTGTTTTCTGTGAGAAGGAGGAGTTTAATGTCAAATATTTCTCAGTCTAGTTAGGTTTGATTTTTTTCACTCTACTTTCCGCCTTGATATTTCCGGTTTATCAACATTGTAAACTTCTGTGAGAAGGTAGAGTTTCGAATATTTCTATCATTTATCGAATTTAATCTCGATCATGTTTTTTAAAGGCTAATTTAGGTCTGAAAATGAGAACCTTGCTTTCTGTGAGAAGGAGGAGTTTAAAGTCGAATATTTCTGTCTAGTCAGATTTAATTTTTTCAGTCTAGTTTCCGCCTTGATATTTCCGGTTTATGAACATTAAAACCTTCTGTGAGAAGGTAGAGTTTTCTATCATTTATCGAATTTAATCTCGATTTGAAAAAATAGCATTTCCAAAAAAAAAATGGAAAAATTCGAAGATTTCATTTTTTCTGCCTCTCCTTTTTTTAAATTAAAAGAAAATTGTTTTGATAGTTTTGAAAAGCGGAAGAACAGGCGTTGCCTGGGAGAGTATTGACCACGAGTATATCGATATATATACTTTGGGAAGGTTGAAGGTACCAGGTATAGCAACTCTCTCTCTCTCTCACGACTACGTGTCTCTTGAGACTATGTAATCGTTAAACGAATTGATCCAGAAATTGAATTACGAACCGTTGCCTCGCGCATGGTAAGACTGAAAATACAGTGACCTATAGAAAATCGATATTTGAGAGAAACACACAAAAAAAAAAAAAAAAAATTATAAAACGTCAGCACTTGCGTTATGAATGAACTCATCTGGTATTAGTTGAAGGGAAAAAAAAGGGTGGGGTAAAAGTGGATTAGACGAGGAGTAAAATCAAGATAGACTTTGTTTTTCGCTTACGTATCGCGTTTTATGTACTTTATTCATTAAAACTCAACGATATATTTTTTTTGTTCTTTGTTTTCTTTGCAATTCTCATATAGACATAACTTTCTTACAATGCACAATAAAACCACTTGTCAGATGTACATATTAGCGTCGATTATAATTATACAAGGGATGCGAAATGTGCGCGCAAATATATGATACACAAGCAATAATACAATGTCACCTTCATAATTATACTTAGGTAATTATATTTTTATGCGTACAATAATTATCACTCCATCGCTTACCTATTTAAAGGGGGGGGGGAGAAAATTATCAGAGTTATATGAAAATTTTTAAGACAATTCCCGCGCAAATTTTTAAATTCCATATTCGTTAATTGCTGCGCGAAATAAAATAGATAAATTTGCCAATTATTATTTTATAATAAAAAATTATTTATTAAAATTAAAATAAAAATTTAATTTGAAAAAAAATGTGGCGCGCTCTGAAGAAAGTAACCTAAACTGCAAAAAGTTATAGGTTATGTTTATGATAGTTTTGCCTTGATTAAATGTTCCTTTTATATATACATAAAAAAAATTAATTATTTGTAA